TTGTTTGCATCCTCTTTAAGAATTCATCGTTACTCTCACGCTCGATCCATGATATCCTTAGCATCCTTCTGTAGAACCACATCTCCGTCGCTTCGAGTCTCTTCTTCATCTTTGAGAAAATCATCCAACATTCGCTGCCGTAAAGAAGAACAGACGTCACGCAACAGCTCAGTATTCTTTTCTTTGTTACCAAAGAAACCCCCCTGTTTCGCAATACTTTGCCCAGCTTTTGGGATGTGTCTCCTTGGCCATCCCAAGACGTCTACGGATCTCAGTGTCGCACTTACCGTCCTCTGTCAAGACGTTTCCCAGATATTTAAACCTCTTCGTCTGCCTGATTCTAGTGTTCCCGACCTGCAAATCGCATTTCAGGCTCATCCTTTTACTGATGACCATGAATTCTGTCTTCTTGTAGTTTATGCTTAGTCCTTTCTTTTCACTCTCCGACGCTACTAGGAAAAGGAAAACTCTGAATTTCAATCCGGAGCCGAAGTCCCTAAGACAGTCTGATGTCTTGTTCTGGCAACTCCAAGTTGTCTTGCCCGCTGACTTTCCTTTGGATAACATCGGTGGCGTGGAAAGGGAAATTGTCATCTGCCGATCCCTGCCAAGGCATCCATATTCGGGCGCAGATCCCTGAACTCTCGAGACCGACGGACGCCAATAACAGTAACTGGGTTTAAAGTGGAGAAACGGTTTTCTATTAATAGTATATAGTGAAAGGATCCCTGAATTAGTACATCCTAATATAATAATTGGAAAAATATATGTAAGAACACACAGGTGATAAATTCTCTATATAAATAAAGTGCAGTGAACGTCTAACCGTCCGTCCGTTTTTCAATCTCAACAAATCATAAAGAACCTGAAGTAACAGGCAGTAAATACTGTAATTACATGCAATTAAAAATTAAATAATTCAGCTAAAGTTAAATTTAAATATCGAACAGAATGAAACGTTTAAAAAAACAATTCTTCACCTTTTCGCTTACGTCACAATTGCAATTGATATCGTTTAATTAAACCGTACTTAAAAATTAAGCGGGGCACGGTACGTTGCTCATATGTCTTTTTTTTTTCTTTTCGTATTGTAACGTATTCGAAATATTATATAGAGTGACTTTATGTGAAGGGATCAGAAAGAATGGTGATTTTAAAAGAAAATAAAAATTGCGCGCAAAATAACTATAAACAAATTACAGAGATTGGCTGCGTATGTGAAGAAAGATTATGCCGAATGAAGGTGTCGAATAAAAATAAAATAATTTTATTAATTCTAAATTTTTATAACTTTATAGGACGCTGACGGTAAAAGGCCGAAGGGTTCAAAGAAGGGCAGGAGCTAACATAAAGTCCGCCCGAAAGCTTTTAGATTAGTTAATAATATTAAGGACTTAAAATATGTTGTCAGTTTTTTGGATAGCATGGACAAACTTGTTAAAAAAAAATAAGGATTTTGCAATCGAATCATCTTGAAGGGAAGAAATACTAATTTTTTTCTTTTTCTTTTGGTTTGTAGGATTTTCCTTTGCCTGTGAAAGAGGAACACTGTAAGTATTAATTAATATCTGTTGGTGTGGATGCGTTTAGATTGAAACAGTTCAACAAAGAAACGACTCTACGATATTTGTCGTTTTAAAATATCACTAAAATTCAGATAAAAATGCTTATATAAAATTTAGAATCAACAGCATTGAGAGGAAAATGATTTTTTTTTCTTGTACAAATTCAAATTGTTTACGAGTGACCCGGTTCTGTAGAAATCAAAATTCTTTGAACGCAATTTTCCATTGAACTTGAATCGTCGATTTAGGGCAATTATTTTTTAAAATTACCATCGGCAAATTACAGCCTTAGTAGGATTTGATCTTTAATTTCAATGACGAGAAAGAAACCGAAAGAAAATATTTATTGTTTCCCAAAACCTTTTTCAAACGACAGCATCCTGAACGCATAAAGGTATCTTTCATTTTTTTTCACACTGACAAATTCTAAAAAACTCTAAAATAATTGTGGTCTGAAGTGGGTCTTCATGTTGCTTACTTCGATTGAATAAATACTGGCTACTTCTGTTATATCAGTAACTGCATTAATTCAATTTTGTTTAATGAAAGAAGACAGACTCTGTTACATCTAAATGTGATGCTGTTTTTGCTCAATTCTAATTGAACGTTTTTTGTGATTAACCAGCTGGGTGTGGCTGCCAGTATGGGAATAAAAGTGAAAAAACCTGAGTAATTAATTGAATGTGATAATTTCAGTTTTGTTTGTATAACAAACATCTGGTCAAAACTTAACAGAAAGACGAGCTAGTAAACTAAAAGTCGATGGTTTAGATAAGGAAACATCGACTCCAAAAATTAGATTTATTAATCTCAAATTGGTTGGTTAATAAATATTTTTCCAAAGTTTTAAATATTCATCTTAAGACGAGAAAATTTCGTTAAATCTAAACTAATCCTCAAAAATTTCGTAGCTAAGAAAATTTTATCGTTTGAATTTATATCTTTGCATTGTAAACTATTCCTCTGTGTGCCATTTTAACATAATCACACACACACACACACACACACATATATATATATATATATATATATATATATATATATATATATATATATATAAAAAGTGAACATTGAAGTCAACACTTAGGGGCGACAGGCTGTTTCATGCTAGACGCAATCGTCAGGCCAATCACTTTTATATTTACACACGCTCTATCTCTGATATTGAGCACTTTATCCCATAAATATAGCACGCCTTAAGACTATATTTCTTCATATATATATATATATATATATATATATATATATATATATATATATATTTCAAAGGTTTGAAGCACCCCTTTTAATTTTTTTTTTCAAAATTGGCCCCAAAAGTAGTTGTTTTGTAATTTAAATGAGAGAAAATTATTATACATGATTTTAAAAAAGTGAGACATGATTTCTTATTAAGAAATTTTATTATGGCAAAAAGAAAAAAAAACATTTTATGATTAAATTTTGCTCTCGTCAAAATAGCCTCCTTTAGCCTTGATTACTGCAGCACAAAGTTTTGGCATTCGTTGCAAAACATTCTCAAAGTGTAAGTTTCATAACTGTTTCCATTTCTTTTTCAATGATTCTAAGAGCTTTTATTCTTTTTTTTTTCACCCTTCTGTCAAGTTCATCCCATGCTAATTCTGGGGGTGGCTGCAAACTTTTGAGCAGTAGTATATATATATATATATATATATATATATGGACCGAACGATGACAAGCGCTTCCTCTACGAAACTCTGGAGTTTGAGTGCTGGATGCTGGATATGTTAGGAAGATAACAGTTAAGCCTAAACTTGAACAGGTTAAGATTGTAGTGCGCCCATTAGAACAGTTGGTATGATGTTTGCTTGACAGCCTAACTGTCAGGGTTTCAATTCTCGGTAGTGGATGCGCACTGCTGATGAGTCCGAAATATAGGACGAAACGGCCCGTCCAGTGCATTCTGTTGCATTCTATTGACTCGATTAATTATATATATATATATATATATATATATATATATATATATATATATATATATATATATTTTTTCCAAGAGGATAAAATCCAGCTTCTGATGCTCTGGAGGGCGGCTTGGATTTCGAATACTTGGATGAGTATCACCACGGAATTTAGCGGGTAGCAGCACTATATCGAGTCTAGTCAGTTTTTTCTTCGTCACCGAACCCCGTTGGTCCAGTAGGTATAACGCTCGCGTTGTATCGTAACGGTCCGGGTTCGATTATCGGTGAGTGAATGCGCACTGCTGAAGAATCCTAAAATACGACAAAACGGCCATCCAGTGGTTTCTGTATTCTCTTAAGAATTCTTCTTCTAAACTCGATGTATTACTATAAAAAATGGTAATTCAAATCCCCCCCTCAAAAAAAATTCTATCACTTATCTATATGTGTGTGAACATCGAAGTCAACACTCTGAGGCGACAGGCTGTTCCATGCTAGACGCAACCGTCAGGCCGACGATTGCGTCTAGCATGAAACAGCTTGTCGCCTCTGAGTGTTGACTTCAATGTTCACTTTTATATTTATATTTACATACGCTCTATCTCTAATATTGAGCACTTTATCCCATAAATATAGCGCACCTTAAAACTATATTTCTTCATATATATATATATATATATATATATAGTAACTAGAGATGATGCAGAAGGGTTGGTCTCCTTCCAAAATCCTTATCCTTAAATATGAAATGAAAACTACCAGCAATATAAACTCTCCTCGGTCCGAAGTAATGGTTAAAAAGCATGTTAATAAATTTAGTATAAGAGATTAAAAAAATGAACACAGTAAAGCTTGCGCTGAGTTACTTTTGGTTCAACACCGTAAGATCCTAAAAAACTAAAATAACCTTTACAGACTCTCATACGGATGTCATACATAGCATCCGACTCGTTCAGAAGTGTCTAAAATATCTTTGTAAAATCGCATTCTCAGACCAATGATTAAAAATGACTTAAAGTGAATGAATTCTTTAGGTTTTACAAAAGAGTTTATAAACTGGGGGCTACGAAATCACAATGGGCTTCGACAAATTACAAAAAAAAAAAAAACACGCCACTTGAACACTATCAACAACAACAAAAATGGATGGCAAATGTAATTAGGAGAGTAAACAATAATATAATCAAGCTGTTAAGCTTTCTACACCACCATAAATAAAAGTTTTGAAAGGAAACTCCTATTAATGCTAGAAAGAGCGATGACAGTGGACTTCTGAAGTGTAATTTCAAGAAAAAAGTCTTTTAATAAAAACATTTTATAAATTGAAACCAATATTAACACTAATTGTTTGAGCAATACCGAATGTTTGGTTTATTAAAACGGATAATTTTACCATTAACATTACTAGTTCGATCTTCATTGGGTACCTGTACTCGTGACCTTGTGACCTTGTCCCGAAATGAAGCCGCCTTAGTAAATAACAGCACTTTAAGTTGCCAGGTTTTCACGCGTTATGCATTCTTTGAAATGCGTTGGTTTAAAACAAGAAAAAAATCACTCATTTTTTATACACACAGCATACATGCGCCGCTTGTTGGATATTGCCCAACTCCTCTCTTGGGAACTGGAGCAACTTCCACAAAGCCTAACTGTCTAGCTCCATCTCCAAACACTCGCCTTCTTACCCACACGGCCACCATTTAATGAGTTTCGCTCCGTTTCTCTCCTTCTTCTCACCCTGAAAGCGACCCACTGCACCGAAGACGCGCTCTGCTCGACATTGACGCCAACCCCCACCCCAGCAAATATTCATTCGAATGCATTGAAACAACACCTAACTATATCCAACCACCACATCCCGGGGGTGCGGTTTTCCACCCGATTTCTGTCTTAAAGGAACATTAAAGATAATGCACCTGCCTTCTTCAAAGAAAAAACATCGCTATCAATATTTCTCCATTCCTTTTTTATCTTTACAGAAAGAGAGAAAAAAAAAACATATTTCATAACTTATCCCTTCATCTTTCTGCTTCATTCGCACAGTGTTTTTTGACTCTCTTTTGCTCTGTTTATCACACTTTCTTTTTCTTTAGTTTCTTTCTTTTCTTTTTTTTCTTTCTTTCTTTCTTTCTTTTTCTTTCTTTTTCTTTTTTCTATTTTTCATTTCTTTCTTTCTTTTTATCTTTTTTCTATTTTTCTTTTTTTCCTGTCTTTTTCTTCTTATTTTTTCTTTCTGTTTTCGTTCTTCCTTTCTTCCGTTTTCTTTCATTCTTTTTACTTTCTTCCTTTCTTTCTTTTTCTTTCTTTCTTTTTCTTTCTTTCTTTTTCTTTTCTTTCTTTTCTTTCTTTCTTTTTCTTTTCTTTCTTTTTTCTTTCTTTCTTTTTCTTTCTTTCTTTTTCTTTTCTTTCTTTCTTTTTCTTTTCTTTCTTTCTTTTTCTTTCTTTCTTTTTCTTTTCTTCCTTTTTTCTTTCTTTCTTTTTTCTTTCTTTCTTTTTCTTTTCTTCCTTTTTTCTTTCTTTCTTTTTATTTCTTTCTTTTTCTTTTCTTTCTTTTCTTTCTTTTTCTTTTCTTCCTTTTCTTTCTTTCGTTTTCTTTCTTTTTCTTTTCTTTCTTTTCTTTCCTTCTTTTTCTTTCTTTTTCTTTTCTTTCTTTCTTTTTCTTTTCTCTTTTTCTTTTCTTTCTTTTCTTTCTTTCTTTTTCTTTCTTTCTTTTTCTTTTCTTCCTTTTCTTTCTTTCTTTTACTTTTAATTTTTTTCTTTTTCTTTCTTTTTTTTACAACTTTCTCACTTCCTATTCACTTCTCTGCTTTTCTCTATGTCTCCCTTTTCCTCTCTCTCTCTCTCTCTCTCTCTCTCTCTCTCTCTCACTTCATCCCTGTTTTTCTTCTTTGCACTCCATCACACACTCAAACACACACACAATGAAAAGGTGATGACCATAAATTCCTTTCTAAGACACACAAATCTAAATTAATTAAAAATGTTATAATTAGCATAATTGTGACAATTTGGATGGCTATGCTTGGACTTATTTTCTTAGTAATAATTAGTTTTTTAGTTATAATTAGTTTTCTTAGTAATAATTAGTTTTCTTACTAATTAGGTCACCTACTAATTGCGTAAATGATATGAAAAATAACTGAAGTGAACTCTATTGTTTATTGAAAATGTTTAAATTGGTGCGTAGCAGACCCCGAATAAAGATCTGATGTGCTATCATTTAGGTAGTGTGACCACTTATATAAAGGAAGAATTCTCAGAAAGAAAAGTGGTAATTAACAGGCTGTAGGGTATCGTCAGTGTATAGTGAGCGTCCTTCGGTTGGCGCGTCGAGCCCCAGTGTCGTATGCACCATCGCCCTTCGTAAGTTCTGACGAACAAATAAACCTACCCTTCTTTTTAGCAATCAGTGACTTTATAGATATTGGGGAGGGGGGCGTCCGAGCGAATCTCCAGTTTTAGTGTCGCTTTTGTTTCCATTTTCTCTAAGTCTTCATTGTTGATCACATGTTCAGCCTATAGTATTCCCAGAATCCTGTTGTTTTCACGTCTCTTCTTCATCTGTGAGGAGATTGCCCAACATTCACTGTCATATAGCAGAACTGATATTACCTATCAATTCAGTACGCTTTTCTTTGTTTCTAACGATTTCTAACGATTTTTTTAATAATTTGCTTAGCTTTTTGAAGGCATCTTTTGCTTTCACAATGCGACTTCGGATTTCAGTGTCAAAATTTCTATCGAAACACTTCCCAGATATTCAGATTTTTGTACTTGTTCAGTTTGGTATCTCCAATTTGTAATTTGCATGTTAGACGGTTTTTATACTAACAACCATTTTGTCTTCTTGAAATTGGTGTTTCTTTCTTCTCGCTTTCCTTCATAACCTACTCTAGAAGTTCTTGTAGTCTCCTTTCTGTGTCTGCTATCATCACTATGTCATCTGCATATCTTATGTTGTTAAGATTGTGGCTGCCAATAATGAACCATAATAGTATTTCTAATTCTCTCAGAATCGCCTCACTGTATAGATTGAATAAGTCCGGTGAGAAGACACATCCTTTCTACCCGTATGCAGTCAGTTATCAGCCTCTATATAAGTTCTGGATTATTCTAATGTCCTTCCCAAATATGTCAAAGTTCTTCATGTATTCCAAATGATCATTTCAGATATAAAGATGAAAGACAAATTGATAGCAAGTTTAGATATTAAATCCTTTTATAAACTAATGCGCACCAATTTACAAATAACTTAAATCACTACGAGAAACATTTAATAAAATCGTAAATAAATGTTTTTCTATAATTTTATCTTCTTGGTTATATAAAATTCGATTCCTATCTTGAAAATTTAACTGAGTATTTTGTTTTAAAGATCGTCTGCTAAAATATACAGAAATTCCTCATTTCTGCAGGATTTTGTTGTCAAACTGACTTCAAAATTTCTCTATTTCAATAATAATTCCAGATAAAATTGATTTTTCTTATCAGATACAATGAATGGAAAATATATTCAAACCAGAATTCTAATTAAGAATCACCTCAAGCAAAATAATCCATTTTTTTACTGTATTTAATAAACGATAACTGTAAAAAGTGTAAAAGATTACAAAAAAGGCTCATCACTAAATAAGTCTCTTACATTTCTTTGGTCATAATTAAATTAACAAATATATAGATAAAAGTATATTATACAATAATACTACTAGGCACAAATTATAGAAATAATTGTTTTAAATTTAAATTGTTTATTGAACATGGCGCTAAAACCTACTGCATTATATAAAATTATATTATAATAGAACTAAATTGTCTGGTGTAGTTTCCCTTCGAAATAAACGATGCTCTTATTTGGTGGCACAATGATTTAATTATAATGTGCTTGTGCCTTGATTCCTGTTCATATACAATTTGTGAAGTTTTGGTCGTTAATTTGACAGCTCTTTCCATGCCTTGTGAATGTGCAGATAAATTTGGAAATTCCAATTTCGTGCCATTCCTTGAAGATTCTAAAAGTTCATTGTTTGAAAAATTTTCTGCAAGCGAAGGTTCACAGATCCCACTTTTTGAAAGGTCAATCAAAGGTGAAAGGTCAGTCAAAGGTGACCAATGTGTCGCTTCAAAATCGATGGCAGTAATTTTCTTCAATCTTTTGTTGTTCACTACTTCCGAAACAAAAAGTAATGTTTTTTATTAGAAAAATTTAACTATACTTGCTTATATTTTTTATATAATTTGAATGAAACTTAAAATTATTCTTATAAATTGATAAACTAATTAAGTATAAATAAATGTTTACATATCTAATGAACAAAATCTTGTAAATTTTTTAATGCAACATTCTGGATTTCGGTTGACTGTTGCTTTACTCTCTGGATCATATTGAAGATATAAAGTTGTTGGTTAAAGAATGTATTGTCCCTTTTGATCTGAAACCAACTAACTGCATATACTTCAATTATAAATTTGATAATGGCTTGTAATTTATCTGAGAGCTCTGGTGGATAGATACATCTGATCCACAAGCACATCAACCTGATCTCTAAAGTTAGCCTCTTGATTGATCTTCCAGACAACAAATCTAAGGTTCACTTACTCTCGAGAAATGTCTAGAGCATATTCCAAAAGTAGTCACTGGTCACCACTTAGATCACCCATTGCCTCTGCAGTTAAGATAAAAATTATCCAGAGGGTCACTAATAATAGGAAATTCTACCTGGTGTAAATTCTGGTAATTATTTCTATAAAGTTTTCCTAGAAGACCAGTGAAAGTATTAGGGCTTCTTGTAGTTCCATCAATTAATTTAAAGATGGCTCTAAATGGCAGTTCATTTTGATGAAGTGAACAGCCAATGGTGTATAATTTTCTTTTAAGTTTTCTCTCCAGAGCTGTAACCACCCCTTCTTCACAACCAGTGTTGGTACTGATATTGTCCACCAGAATTGCCATAACAGTATTTACACTGTTTTACTCTTCTAGAACAGCAGCAACATCCTCTGCTAGAATGTTAGGTATCACTCTGGAGGGGGGAGATATTTACTTTCAGTGCCCATCTCTCTATAGATTGTTAAGTGACGATGTGGTCCCTTGATTTTCTTAATCTTTTTTTTTCAGCATTTTACCCTGTAACCGCCTTATCGACTCTGCAATCAACTCCAATGCAAACAAGATTTTCATAGTCCTCGACATGTTTCTGATGGCTGCTTACTTTCACTCACGCCTTTTCCCTATCTATTTTTGATTTGTCTATAATATATTTTAAATTAATGGTTGGATGAAGAAGGCACATATGTTGTAGGCCTAATAGAAAAGCATTAGCAAGGCAAGCCCCAAGGTTAGAAGATTCATCACATCTAATAAGTTCCATGGAATATCTATGGACATTTAAAAGACTGTAAGGTCTTTTAGATTCTTTCCCTGGCTCAAAACTGTCATCGGTTGTTTCTTCACAGGAAGATGCCTGTGAAAAAATATGTAGAGGAAGCATCATATGAAGAAACTTGTTGCTGTCTTTTAATCTGCCTGCCCAATCTCTCTGTTTCGATGAATTTATTTTGTATTTTTGACAGCATTTTATCGATAGCAAATCTTATATGTGTTGATCTTGTCCTAAGTATTATCGTTCGTTACCAACTTCCGTGTGATTATTCTATTCAGTAACTTTCCCTATGTTACAACATACACCCATGTCTCAAACTCCTTTCTGTTTTTGTTTAGCCACTGAATTCATTTTCTATCCGTATACAGGCGCATTCTTCCCAGTATAAGTTCTGGGTTACGAATTTATGCACATTTTCATAAATGACGCAAGTTACTGTGAATTGAATCGATATTCATCAAGAGATAATGTCTAAAATGCGTATTTATTAATTGTTCCGGAAGTGATTGCTCCGGCTCAGGTTCATATTATAAATCTTAGTCAGCGCCGATTCATTGGTTATAATCCGGGTATTTGAGAAAAAAAAACTATATCCGGAACAAATGATTCTTTTCCGGCTTCCATTAATGTAAAGTTTTTCAGTTAACGATTAAAATTTTTTTTTTGAATTGTTTGATTTAATCACACCTTTAAAAAAAACAGCACAAAGAAAATGTACGGCAAATCCTGAATTTCTTTTCTCATCCCGTCTGCAGTAGACTTTGCTGGCAGCAAAATAATTCTCCCTTATGTCCTTAAACAATAGGAATTCTTATTCTGTGTCACCTTTTGAATACACGTTTCGAATTAGGATTGAAATCATCTTTTATTCTTTATCATGTCAGAGAGATTAAAAATTATTCCAATATTCATCCTAAGATATATATATATATATGTGTGTATGTGTGTGTGTATGTGTATGTGTGTGTGTATGAGTAAGTGAATGAATGAGTGTGTGTGTGTGTCTCTACGTGTGTATGTGTGCGTGTTAATGGAAAAATATAAAAAACTGTTTTACATTAATGTTTCTTCAAGATATTATTAACCGGCAAATGCGAGCACACACACACAGACACACACACGCGCACACAGACACACACACAGACACACACAGGGTAGGGGGTTGTGCATAAGTCAAATTTTTATCATCTTCTTGGGGCTTTGGAAATCAGATAAGAATGACAAAAGTTTTTAGAGTTTGTGAGAAGGAAGGAAGGCAGGAAGGAAGGAAGGAAGATGCAGATGAAATTAATAGGAAGGAGGGGAGAGATCAAGGAAGGTGAAGAAAGATTAAAGGAAGAGAAGAAAGAAAGAAAGAAAGAAAGAAAGAAAGAAAGAAAAAAAAGTAAGGAAGGGGGAGGGCGATGAAATAATGTAGGAAGGAAGGAAAAGAGGGAGGGCGATGAAATAATATAGGAAGGAAGGAAGGAAGGAAGGATAATATTTTATAATTGTATCTAAAAGAAGGGCCTGAAATAACTGATAAGAAATGAGTCTATGTTGAAT